CTTTGTCAAGCAGCATCTCAACTACCTGCTCGTGGCCTCCAGCTGAAGCTGCCTGCAGTGCGTTGCCGTACTGTCCACCCTGCGCGTTGACGTCGACGCCTTTAGTGAGCAGCATCTCAACTACCTGCTCGTAGCCTCCGTACGAAGCTGCCTGCAGTGCGTTGCCATACTGTCCACCGTGCGCGTTGACGTCGATGCCTTTGTTGAGCAGCATCTCAACCACCTGCTCATGGCCTCCGTACGAAGCTGCCTGCAATGCGTTGCCGAAGAATTCACCCTGTGCGTTGACGTCGGCGCCTTTGTTGAGCAGCGTCTCGACTACCTGCTCATGGCCCTCTTTCGAAGCTGCATTTAGTGCGTTGCTGTAGAATCCACCCTGCGCGTTGACGTCGGCGCCTTTGTCAAGCAGCATCGTAACTACCTGCTCGTGGCCTCCAGCTGAAGCTGCCTGCAGTGCGTTGCCGTACTGTCCACCCTGCGCGTTGACGTCTACGCCTTTAGTGAGCAGCATCTCAACTATCTGCTCATGGCCTTTGTATGAAGCTGCCTGCAGTGCGTTGCCGTAGTCTCCACCCTGTGCGTCGACCTCGGCGTCTTTGTGGAGCAGCAGTCTTGTAATCGTACTAAAGCCCAACAATGCTGCGTAGTAAAGCGGCATAGGTATGCTATCGAGACCTTTGCTAAGATCTGGTTCCATCCAAGGACTGTCTGGATCATACAATTGGATCCAGGTGAGGTATGCGGGCTCTTCCCTGGCCATTAAACTCATTGCTAGCTGACTGACTTGTTCCATCTCGTCTCCTGTCTTTCGAAGGTGGCTGCTCCAGAACTCCGCTGTGTACCTTGCGAGCGCACATCCCTCAAAAGTCTCTCTCGATAATGGGAGCTGGAGCTGGATCAGGTACTTCAGAGAGCCTCTTGTTATCGCATTGTGACATTTGGCCTCCTGCATGCTGTACTGCTTTGCTGACCCTTGCCTGATCCTGTCCGAAACGAGGTACTCCTGAACTGAGTAGTGCGCTAGAGCGATAATCTGTTGGGCAGGCCCTGATCTTCTGTCTGCTTCGTTCTTCGTGATAGTGATCAGACTAGAGCAGATGTCCAGCGCTTCCAGCGGGTCTTCTAGCACCTCATCACGGTCGAACGCTGGGTCACGCGCCACGTCGATAGCGACGACTTCGGCGATCTCTTCCACGGATAGCGGCCGTGCAGAGAACGTCAGCCACTGCAGAATGCGCATCGCATACTCAGAGTATTCCTCGCTTATCGCGGAGAGAATGCGGTCGTATGTCTGGTCTAGCGTCCGCGGCAGACTAGCAAGAGATTTGCGCAACATCGCTCGATTGCAGCACTTTCCTAGTGTGTCCAGCTGACACACGGCCCATCGAAACCTATGCGATCATCAGCTTTAGCGCTGCGGATAAGTGGATGAGCACACGTACATCCCGCGAGCTCCGCCCATTAGAACATCCTCAATCTCTTGCCTGACAGCAGCATCCTTGTTCCACTTTGCTAAGCCCTTATCGACACGCAGCCTTTGTTGAACGTATAGTTGTATATCCTGATCTACTACGTCCCCCTGAAGACATATAGTGTCATCATCCTTGATGAATTCCTCTAAGGAGTTCTCGATATCCCGCTCTTTCCGGCTAGTCATAAGCAGGCGCAGATTGTCAAGCCGCCATCCAGCCACCGTTTCAAGCATGTTCATCAGCTCTGAGCGCTGAGTACACTCATCAAGAGCATCAACAACGACGTAGACGTGCGCGAACTCTTGCGCTACCTGACGTGTCACGTCTAGGAGTGCACGCAATGACGGTTGCTGTTGCCCGTTCTTGCAGGACGAAAACAACGCATCGACGCCCTTGGGTATCACGACCGACCGCTGCAGAAGCTGGCAAAGCAACGAGCGGAGCATCAGCTCTGGATCCTGTTTCTGTGTATCGTTGAAGTCGAAGTAGAAATACACCGTCACCGTGCTAGTGTCATTGTGGCAGTGCTGCAGCAGATGTTCGATGATAGTAGAGCTCAGGATCGTCTTTCCACATCCTGGGATCCCATACAGCCATAGTCGCGACGCTGCACTCTCCTTCCATTCGGTAAACTTAGCGCTTTCCAGCAGCCAGAGCCCAGTCTCAGCCTGCCGCTGCTTGTGCGCTTTGTGGTAGTTTGTAGACGGGTCAGGCGCCGAGAGCCAACTACAGATCTTGCTAAGTTTCTCTTCTTGGTCATGGCTGCGGTCCTTATGTTTCAGAATAGCCGCACTTCTCAGCCGCTCGAGTGCATTCTCTCTGCCTTCGCCATAGATCAGCGGTAGGTGGACGCCGAATATGCCGAACAGACAATACGCTCCATCTTCTTCTTCTGTTGTGTGTCGATCTGTTGCCCAGGAGAACCGCTTGGCAACGTCGAACTCGGACAAGTCGCTTCCTGACAGAGCTTCGATAGGGATTCCTGTGGCCTCGTGTATGAGGTGCTTGAGCGACTCCTTGTCCCCCAGTCGCGCTCCCTCTTTAGAGAAGAACTCGACGGAGTGGGGAGCAAGAAGTTCCTGGAGGGTCCAGCCTCGGGTGAACCACCTGCTCTGCATGAACGCTGGCTCGCTATCACCTTCTAAAGTGTTGTTCTCAACGTCTGAAAGGAAGACATAACACCTTCTAGCGTTCTGGTACCATCGGAACATAGAGTTAATCGCTTTTGACAGTTCCGTGTTGTTTGACTTGTCTATGCAGCAAGTGTCTACCCAGAAGTAGTCTAGACCATCGCACTTAGCTTGCGCAGCGCAGAAGAAAATCTTTTGGTATCCCCCCTTGAGCCTTGCATCAACATCCCCTATATCTTTGTGGTTCTGAAGGTCCTTATAGACCACCTCCTGCCCATCCCAAGTGTGTGACAGGATCGCATAGGGGGGAATCTGGTCGCCGAGCAAGTCGTCGGTCCAGCTGAGCCTCCCATCGCTTGCAGAGTATAGCAGTCGCATGAAACCGTGTGTGTACGTCTATGTGCGCAAAGTGTAGAAGACGGTCTAGGGGCTTCAAGGCGGGCTGGAGAAGTTGATGGCGTACGGCGGCTCGCTCGCGCAGGGCGTGAAGATCGTACAATGTATGCGTCGAGTCCGTTGTAAGTGCTAGGCAGTCGATTGCTCTATCAGAGGTAAGGAAGCAGTCTTCGTGTGCTATAGTGCCAAACGCTGTTTGTTGAGGTAGGCTGCGGTTTGAACACCCAGAGTGGGAGGCGCAGCCTGCCTGCCTGCTTGCCTAACGGGTGACGCGAGGCTGGGCAGCAGGTCGTACAACGCATTGGGGCGATAATGCATTGACGCAACATTGATGCAAAGCAGGAAGGCAGCTTTTATGGGAGGGCGCGATGCGGTCGTGCAGAAAGCGCGACGTACAGACAAGCATTATCGCATGTTCGTGTAGCGTGCCAATTGCGCAAGGACACGCTGGCCTCAAGAACTCCGTCGCTCTCCCGCTACGAGCCGGCAAGCAAGCGATGGCAGTTGTCGCTGTTTCTGCAGACGGTCTCGAGCAATGCATTCAGATGAGGCCAGCATTAGTTTCAGCGTGCACGGCGAACTATGTACTCTGGTAGCTCTTATCCAGCGTGGATTGATGCTGGTTGGTTGGTTGGTTGGTTGATTCCTACACGGTTTCAGCCGCGAATCCGCAGCATTATGCTCAAGGGGTGTCTGGGCTCCGTCATCGCGTCCTGCGTTGCTGCGTCACAGCTAGATGGCTGCCGTTGCATTTGGTGGGCGCGTCTTGTTAAGTAGCTTGCTCGTAGATTTTGTCTGTCTGTGCATGCCAGGGCCGCAACAGCGGCTCTACAGGTGTCACATCAACGCGGGGGGACGCACGATGGCCTAGTATACCGTGGCCGTGCGGCCGATGAGCCAGTTCAGCCGATGAGCCACCCCAACGAGATATCAGCGATAGAAAAATGAAGCTGTAGAGCCACACTCAAAAGCTATTATCGCTAGAAAAGTTGGTGTATTGCTATACAGAGCCTTGCGCTTCAATTGTGCTATTTATATTTGGCTGGTAACCGCGAGCTGCGGCCTCTCGCAGTGATTTTGGGTGGGGGAGACGCAGCTGGCGGTGCAGCGTCAACACGACTTCGAGCAGCCACAACACAACAACGCTTTGTCGGATTTTTTGCAACACTGTGTGAGACTTTTCGCTTACGCTTGTTGAGTGTATCGTGAGATTTTTGAGCGATCAGAGCGTCGTGTTGCTGCTTTTTGAGCGCTCGTTCGGCAGCCAGCACTTCAGCTTGTGCTTTCTTCGCCTCGCGACGCTCCTCAGCAGCACGCTGTCGAGCGAACTTTGCCTCCTCTTGCTGCTGCTTTTTGTGAGCTGTTGCTGCCACCTTTGCCTTTCTATCGCGAGATTTTTGGAGTTGTAGCTGCGCGGCTTCATCGAGTTCTGCAGCTTTGCGCGCGCGGTCGCGGGCAAGCTTCCTGGGACTGTAGAAGACAGCGCCGCCGTGCCAGTCGTCGCCGTCTTGTGTAGTCAGTGTTGTCCGCTGCGTTGGGCGCTTCTTGATGACGTTGAGTTCGTGTTGTAGCTCCTCGTTTCGAGTGCGAAGAAGCTCGTTGTTGACCTGTAGCGAGTGGAGGCTCCGCGACAGCCGCTTGGCTTCAATTCTGGCCTTGTCAGCAACTGCAGCGTCAGAAATTTTGCGCAGCTTAGGCCAGCTATCGCCTTCGCCATGCTCTCCAATTTCTGCGTCTTCGTCTTGTTGTGGTGGGCGGTTGTTGAAGCGTTTCAGTACAGCGTCTGCATCCATCGGCCACACGCCTGTAGCTTGAAAACTCTTCAATATGAGCTCCGAAGTCATTGTAGCGCTCCACGCTGGCTAAAAGTTGCTGTAGAAGTTAGGTTTTGTGATCCTTGTGAGGCCTTAGGTTTGTTAGAGGTAGTAGGTGAGCTTCTTAGTGTAGTGCCTTGAAAGCAGCGCAAAGAGGACAAAATCAAGCAGCTGCAAGCTGTAGGTTGTATAAGGTAGAAAGACTATAAGGAGGATGCGTTTAGCGTCGCAATACTCTAGGAATTCAGGCATGAGGTGGCTGCTGTGGCCGTCAAGGATCAGAAGCTGCCATTAACAGCGAGCTTTAGCTACTGTATAGCAATTAAACACCTGCTAAAGCTAGGCAAGCCCTAAGTTATTGTTTAACTATCCTGTTACTAAGTAGGAGATAAAAATCTAGTGTTGTTTAGCAACAAGGTTGTTAACCTAGGTTAATTAAATCCTAGAGGTGCCCTAGTAGATAAGAGTGGGTGGTAATGCCTCTCTAGAAGCGCATACGCAAGCTAGCAGTGTTACCTATTCTCTGTTACTATCTCTAAGCGCTGTAGTGTGCTCTTTTAACTCCTAAATTGCCTTAGAGACTATCCTTTTAGTGTAACTGTTAATGCTAACAAAGAAGCCTCTCTTATCTATTGTAACAGAGTAGGCGCCCTGCCCTCGAAATCAATACTACGTGACTTCTCTGCCTATACCAAAAGGTAAGCACAAGAATACTTAAGCAAGTATTCGTTGCGTAGTATAATATATATAGACAATAATAGTGCTAGCCAGCTAGCTTTGCCTCTAGCTGCTATGAGCGCTATGCCACGTGTCGTGTTCGTGCATAGTCGTTACATCTATATTGTACGTGTTGCGCTCATCAACGCTGTGCTCACGCATCTTAGAGTGCAATAGATTGAAGTACAACTTGTACTTGCGCTTGCTGTCAGCTAAAAAGCGCTCACGATCCATCCTGGTGGTCCATTTAGTGGTAAGCTTGTTGGCGTGGCGATGCAGAAACCGAGTAATCCAGCTCTTAGAGACCTCCCACTTCGTAACCGCAGAGGCGAAATTTTGCAGCATGCTTCTAGTGGGTGGCAAGCCGTCTCTTGTGCATCTTTCTATGTATTTGACAAGTACCTCCTCCTGTTGTGGGCTGAGTAACTGTCGCTGGCGCGCTTCTTCTGCATTTGAGCGTGTATAACAGTTGTGCCGCTGCAACAGCGTTGTTCAGTCAACTCTAAACATTTTTGCAACTTAGCAGTATAACAAGTTATCTCTAGCTTTAACTATGCAATTCTAAATATTCAATCGCTTCTTGAATTAGATCCATGGTGGTGGAGTTGTGACGCGTTGAAGTTGTGGGTATCTCAATGTTGTGATGTTCCGGGTGGCTCATCGGCTGAACTGGCTCATCGGCCGCACGGCCACGGTACCGGTACCGGTCCCGGTACCGGTATCACCTTATCGCATTAAGAGTACGAGCGCTTCTCAATTTCCCGGCCCGCAGCCAAACAAACAACCACTACGACCAACCAACACTACCACCACCAATACCACTGCCACTACCACGATCACTTTCGCACACATCCCACCACCACCACCACTGCAACGTTTCATGTCCAAGCGGAAGCGCACCCCATCGCTCCCTGACAGTGCCTCTCTCGCATTGACTCAGGACAACCTCCGCCGCCTGCAGGAATCTCTCTCACCACCTGCCACGATGTCTCGACGAAGCTCTCCCACTCGCACCAAGAACAACCTCGATGCCCGCACCAAGCTTGAAGCCTACCGCATCTACGTCGACACCGAACACGCGTATCCCCATGCCCTTGCGCACTTCATCGACACCGTCATCCGCCGCCCACGCGACCCTGCCGGACCCATGTCGCCAAATGCCAAAAACATCGTTGACAAGCGCAGGAAGACGGCGACATCCAACGAGCGTACTGCCATCAGCGTACTGACGCCCTGGTTGCTGTTTGTGGGCGAAGCCGATGGCGACGACCGAGGGACTCCCGTGCTACACATCACAGCTAAACAAGATATCGGCCTCAACAAATTCTTCACACCTGAAGCACCCAATCCACTCGTCGCCAAAATATGGGGGAAGCTTTCAGCCGCGCAGCCGGACTCTTGCATTGGATATGTCACAAGTCGCGACGCACGCATTGCGGGGACCAAAGCCCTCTTCGACACCAACGAGGAAACTATCCTCCACGATTTCTCTCTCACGCAGTACATGCATTTTCCATTCTTGACCGCCCAGTGGAAAGTACCAAACTCCAACGAGAACCTGCATAGCGCTCAAAACCAAGCTGCCCGTGATGGCGCCGCTATCGTCAATCAACTCTATGACCTTTACGCCGTCGCTGATTCAACTCCACCATCAGTGGTCCGCACATGCCACTTTTCAGTACAAAATGATCTCCAGCATGGCGGCCTGTGGGTGCATTGGCGCGAAGGGGACGAGCACTACATGGAACTTGTATTTGATTTCTCCATGCGCGACCAAACAGCTCTGGAGACTCTACGCAGCTTTCTGCACAACATCCTAGACAACGCATTAGGACCGCGCCTGGAGTCGCTCAAGGTCGTATTGCCTAAGTTCCACGAAAACCAGAAGAAAGGTGATTACCCTGTGGTTCAACCGGCTGCCGACGAGGGTGCGCCTTCCGAGTCTGCAGTGTCGCAAGGCTCATCGCTCTCGAATTTCCAGTACAACTTCAAAGTCCCATTGACTCCATCAACCACTTCGGAGCCCGATAAATCGCGGAAGCGCGCAAGGCACGGGAGCATTACTTGAGCCAAGCAGCGCTTTGTCTTGCATATTCGTACCATGTTAAGGTCCTCCAAGACTCTCTGGCGACCATTCTCAATGCTTGCGTGGCGGGGATACCGGAGAAAGGAAAGCATTGAACAGCGTTGGGGTCATGGATCATAAATCCTGAGCGTCTGACTCCCGAATGCAGTACACTGATGAGTTCTGGTAAAGTAGTGTAGTCTTAGAACAACCCTCCCGCCTCGGATGCAAATTGCAAGGGGAAACATCGGGTGTCTGCAGGGGAAGTATGATTTTAGATGCCACATTCCTCACATAGGGAGAAGTTTTTCAATTGTCGAAATCAGAAAATCGTGGCATTGTACTGTGGCAAAAGTACGACTAGCAGGCCTGCAACGGCCATACAACGATTGTACAATGTTCAGCCAACTTTCAGCCAATGTTGGACCAACGGTCCCAATGGTGTAACAACGCGCTGCCAACAACAACCTGATCCCACTAGGGTACAGTCTAGCAACTCATAACCATAGCCCTTGTTGCATAGCATAAAATTGCACTAAACTGCCTCTAAATCTCCCTGTAACAACGCATAACTTTATGGGCGCCCCCTATAAGTTAAGAGCATTCCACAAACAATATCTGTCGCAGCAAGGATCGAGGTGAGGGTGCATATCACGTGATCCGCATCTGGATATTGGACCGATCAGACACTGGCGATCTATCACGCCATGGTGAGCGGAATCGGGTATAGATTGGAGCCGTGATTAGGGCTCCAATTAGGGTATAGCTGGATGAGCATTGGTGTATATATTCTGCTCATTCAGCACCGTAGATAGAACAAGGAACTTGATCACTTTCTTCACACTTGATCAACGATCAGAGACCACTCAGCTTCCACAGATTGCCTTAAGGTGCGGCACTATACCCCACTAGCACCCCCTCTACTAGAGACACTATGGCAGTGAAGGACCTTAATTAATACACACAAGTTTAGATCTTAGTTAACCTAAACTATCACCGAGTGTCCCACATCACCGAGTGTCCCAAAATCTCTTGGCAGCCTCAACCTATGCTACAACTCCTTAATTTCATTGCTATTAAACAGGGAGCCTGCGTACGTTGTACTAGCATCTAATTCTGAGGACACCTCTATATCCTTTTTGCACGTTCGCGCATTGTGCCCAGTCCTACTGCAGTTCCTACAGCGCCGAAGAGCTGGTTGGGCTAGTTCTTGACCACTACCACCACGAGCCTTCTTGGATCGCTGAGGCGCTATAGATGCCTCAGCAGCTACCTGCGCTGCAGCAGTCCCATACTCCATAGTACCACCCTGCTGAATCTGCTTGCGCTTACGCGATTTTCGCTTGGTCATCTCTACTAATTGCTCTTCAAGCTCATGGATCCGAGCACATTGAAGCGCATTTTTATGCAGCATCAGCTCACCACCTTTTATAAGCTGGGAGAAACCAGCCTAAGCTGTAACAGGCGAGCGAGTAAAGGAATCGCGTACAAGCTTTAATTGAGATCTAAACTTATAGGTATTGCTTAGAGTCTTTGACTGCTATGGGTGATTTTCGAAATACCATGTACATCATGTGATTTAGCGCGCGGAAGATGCGGACAATGTCAATGTTGCTGTCTCAGCCAAATTTAGCGTTTAACAACAACAGAGCTGGCTGCTGCTCCTTCTAGGATAATTAAAGCTTGATATTATTAGTATCTTGACTTTTTGTGGTGTTGTGATGCCTACGAGAAGGTTAGCTTAACTTAGCAGAAAATTGATAAGCCAGCACCTAAATTGACACAGGAGGCACCCGCACCTACAACACTAGCAGCATCTAGTCAGCGTCAGCGCATTGCAACTCAGCTATTTAGAAGTTGTTGTACAAAGCCTGATCATCAGAGCGTCTTTTAATTTAACTTTTTAGCTGCTTAAAGCTCTTCTCGATCAGATTGTAGTCAGGTAAGTCTAGACTCTAGTGGAAGGTACTCTAGCTCTACCTTGTACATCGCACAAAGCTCACGAACCTGAGTTAAATAATGAATAGAGGGGTTGTCTAGTAC